GAAGATGGGTTACTCAAAATGACATTTTTTCCTCTACAACCATCCATTTGATGCTTCTGATAGCCAACCTTTTCTTTAGAAGGGCGATTATGTTGCACTTGTCAATGTAAAACCATGTATAACCAAATTGCACAATATAAAAAAAGAGTCAAAAAGGTAAAACGAAAATTAGATATTAGTCAAAATTTTCTATTGCTTAGTTGTGGCAATGTCAATGAATAACCGTTATATGCTTTCTGAGAATTTACAGAGTATAACCACAACCAGTCACAGGCCCAGAGACTGACTAGTTGAATCAGGTTTGACAACCAACAAAGTCCAATGGCAAGAAAGAATCTATTTAAACTAATGGACAATCCCAATTTTTTATGCCATCAAGAGCATGGACAATTGGCTATTCTAATTTACAGAAAAATTATAACAGTCACATGGTACACCAATAACAAATAAAATTAAGATGAGCATATATTGCAACATGAAAGTTGAAAAATAACATATCCAAGGACTTACTTGCTCATAAGAGACATCAATTAAATTCAATGCTTGTGTCATTTGAACCATCCCTAAGTCACCAACTGGGGATGGAGCATTTACTCCCCCAATAATTTTTGGTGCAACAAATGCATAAACCTGCCACATAGTACAGCTAAGAACAAGGAGCTAAAAAATATACATATATATAGTAAACAAAATAGTTAATCTACTTTAATAAGAAATCTAAAGAAGATACCAGTTGAAAGCAATGAAAAGATAATTTGACTAAAAAGGTTTAAGGTTAAACATTCTTTCCTGATACAATTAGTCTTTTATGCTATTCATACATAAACCTTAAAATCGATTAGAAATATTATCTAATACACATTATAAACCATGCATGAGTAGAAGAGGAGTTAAAGATTCAGAAACAGTTAAAGACACAAGAGCAAAACTCTTTTGATTGTTCCAATATTAATTTAGTAGCTACCTTATGTATGACACCGGATGAAATAGCAGGTGCAGAAAGAGCCCCACCGCACTCCCATAGTACCGAGAGGTACCCACGGTCATAGCAATATTCCATAACATCTCTAGAGTTCAGAATATCAAACTCCACCACTTCTACACCCTTTTTTGCAAGCTTTTTCTGCAAATCTCTGCGAGCACCTCTTTGTGTTGTAACTATAGTGTAAGCTTCAGTAACATTCCAGAGCTTTGCTTCATCAGGAAGATTTAGAGTTCGTGACATCACAATCCTTACAGGAACATGTCCTCCTCCATGTCTGGCAGTTAGCTGTGGATCTGAGGTAACATAAAAAAGATGTAATATCACCTCATACAAGAAACAAGAGCAATTTTATCAGCTCTTTTACTTGAAACGTATTTGCAGATGTTTACCATCACGACGCACAGTATTCCCCCCTACAACGATGGCATCACTTCTACCACGCAACTCAAATACGCGACCTCTAGATACCTTGCTACTTATCCAGGAAGCATGTCCACTCATAGTTGCAATTTTACCTGTATATAACAAGCCTTTAAATATTATTATGATCACTGAAGGATCCAAAAAGCAGCTCTTAGAAAGTTGGAAGTTCAAGTGTTTGAGAGATTTGATAGGCAACAAAAATGTAACACGCTTAGCACTTAAACACAAAGAAAGAGGTACATAACAGAAAAGAACTTATTTCTCACCGTCCAAGGTCATAGCATACTTGAGAACAGAAAATGGAACACGAAAGGCAGCTCTATAAAGTAATGGAGCATTTACCATAAGGCAGGACTTCAAAGCATCCTATAATAGAAGTTTCAAAATGTTAAGAGGAAGAAGTTTGATATACATAGATTAATAGCTTCTGAAAACTACATAAATATTACATATGCATCATGTAATTAGAGTAAATTATTTACAAATTTTCTGGCTTTGTGCCTGTTAATATGCAAAGAAGTCTTTAGCATTTTGAGTTTAAACTTCTTGAGGAAATGACCAATTTGTAACTAACTAAAATGCAATCCAGGTTCTAAGTATTGAACATCAGTTCAAGCTAAGTGGTACAAATTTATTTTAACCACTTTCACCATTCAAGATATAAAGCTGTGCTGCAAAAATTGCATTATCAGTATTGAACATAGTTGAATTTCTAAGGAACAATTTGTCACATTTGAGAATAAAAATAAAGGTATCAAAACTTATGCATGTGCAATGTTCTCTTACCAACTAGCATTAAAATGAGAAACAGAAATAGAATGAAAGAAACAAAAGTAATGTAACCTAACCTGTGATCTAACATGAAAACCATTACCTCAAAGGTCTTGCTCTGCAAATCTTCCCCAAGAACATCAACTTGAACACTTTCACTTCTTAGTGATTGTATCGCTTTCCCTCGTAGATGTTGGAGTGGATGTCTAAGGCCAATTACAACCCTTGAAATTCCTGCCTAACTAATTAAGGTATCAAATGATAAACAAATTCATTTTAGGTGCTGTCTATTTGAGTAAATTAGAAAGTTACTTTCCCTTGTTTAAGCAAATAAAAAGACTTCTTAAATCACTATCTACATTTACCAAAGAATGCATTTGCAAGTCAAAATTTATTTATAATTTTTTGGCTTGTTAAAGATTGGATATTAACAGGAACTTGTTAAACATTGGAGAATGAATGGGTTCTTTACACTCCAAAATGAAAAACAATCTCAAAATTCAACAAATGAAAAAAGAAACTGTATTAAAGAAGACAACAATGGTCAAAAAAATCAATGCATGGAAGCAAATCTTTGAGATGAATGTTTGACCAAATAAAACTTTTAATAAATATAAGCAAGGTTGTCAAATAAGAGAATTTTGTAACAACTTACCAGTTGGTCTCTGTGATTTGTCATTCAAGTTCTAGCTGGTAGCCAAGGAAGTAACATTTCTAGTTGGAGACTTGGAGAAGAAGAGAAGAAGATACAAATCCAACATTTGTTTTTTTCTTGTTCATGTGACAAGGCTCCTAGACATGTCAAGTCCTTATAGTCTGAAGCAAGCTTTATAGAGGAACAAGCTTGATATGATTATCTTGCCCAGACAATTCTTGATAAATGCAGCTGACAACTGTGAACTCTACGGTAATGTAACTATAAATTTCATTCTAGCTTTAATCATATACAACATAACTACCACAGAGGACGGAAATCATGTCAATATTTTTCATCACATTGGAAATAAAACTACATCTACCACATATGATCCATGACTAACACTAATATGAAACTCAAGAAAGCCAAGTTAGAACCTTTAACCTAAATCAGGCAGCGAGAAATGACACATGACATTTCACCACTTTTGAAGCAAAGCTGTCTCAAGTATATACACATCCCACGAGCAGCAATAACAAAGCAAAAAGAAGTAAAGATGCATACATGGCTGTATGTGATATACCAAATATCATATGCTGGTGCCATATTATCTAGGTAGACTATTATCAACAACAGTACTCCAAAGTCCAACGGGGTGATTCTCAAAATATTAAGAAGACATAGCTTGTGACCTCGACTATATATATGTCTAGCTGTGAAAGAAAGTAATGGAACTTCTATCGAAGACTATAATGATGAAATGAAACTGCGCATACCAAGCACACGGAACATTAGATGGATGGACCATTCAACTAAAAAACTAAAAGCAATTGAAGGAACCAAAGGCATCTGCAACACACTAGTCTTGGTCACCTGGAATCCAAAACGCCCCATAAAGAGAAAAAGGGAAATGGAGGAATGGAAGTAAACTGTGAAGCTACATATCTGATAGTCCCAAAGACACCTTTTTTATACAAGATTGGCAGATAAAACATCAAACCCGTTGAGATATTTTAACAAACGACTCGCAACCATGTCAACAAACAGCGAATGAGTACATGATATGACACCATAAAAAACTCAGCTTTTCACGACCTAACGAGAAACAGAGGAAGGAATGTGGCGCGGACCTGGACGAGGGAGGAGACGGCGGTGTGATCGGAGTAGCAATCACCGGGCTCCATGTTGAGGTAGGCGGTGGCGCCGCGAGCAAGGCCGCCGGCCTTCTCGACGGCCTGGAGCTCCGCGCACTTGGTACCCTGCGCGTAGAGAAAGCCCTCTCCGACCACGTCTCCGCATCTTGCGATCACGCACCCGAAGTTAGGGTGGGGCGAGGTGTGCCCCGCCGAGAGGTCGGCCACCTCCGCCGCCCGCCGGAGGAGCGCCGCCTCCTCCGCGGTTGCGGCGTCCGTCACGGCGCACCGAATCGGACGGCGTCGGCGGAGCGTGAGCGCCGGAGCGGCGAAGGTGACTGCCGCACCTCCTATCAGCGGCATTCTTATCGTGAGAGAGACCGTATTCTAGCGGTCTAGGAATTAAGCGGAGGCACGCAGATATAAGCGGAAGCGCTTAAATGTATTTCTTATGGTTTTCCGTTTTTTTTTTTTTACTATTTACAATCTTATTTTAAGAAAAATTCTTGACTACTTCTAAAATATCATGAACGTAAGTATTTTTTTTATAAATAATAAAATTATATTTAATTATTTTTTAAAAAATTACTAATAACAAAAAGAGATTGTGAATGACAAGCTTCTATCAAAATGTTCGTTCTTTGAAAATGATCTAAAAGGTTTTGTGTTCGCATATTGACCGACCACGTCCCCATCGGCACCTGTGTTTCTCAACCAAAAAGTTCAAAGACTTCATCATTAAATGACATTTCCTTGTTACCAGTAACAAAAAGAGATTGTGAATGGCAAGCTTCTATCTAAATGTTCATTCTTTGAAAATGATCAAAAAAGTTTGTGTTCACATGATAACCACAATCCATATAACAAAGCAAAGGCGTCGATGAAAAACAATGGAATCAATTCGCAATACCCAGCAATAACACTTTTGCTTTGGAGGAATCATTGTGCTGCACTTCATTGTGGTGAACCATATAGACAACCTACAGAGTTGTCAGATGCATCGTAGTGAAGTCAAACAAGCTCCAATGTGAATACATTTTTGTTTGCCAAATATGAAGATCAATAGAAGCACGTAGACCAGAAAGAATACTCAGTCCTAGGTACAATCCCATTCTGGGGGATACGAATAAATGTTGGACTCCACCGAACAATATAAAAGACATTGTAGAATCTCTTAGAATAATAATTACACACTATACACTCTATACTGACAACCCATCTTACGCGCAAGAAAGAATTCCTCAAGCAATAGCCTCTGACAGATAAGACTGATGAATCTCTTTCCAACAGATCAAGGAGGAACAGAGATTATGTGACAACTTAATTCACCATGGAGCTGCCACTCCCATGCAGAAAACCATAACAAAACTATCAAAGATAACAGCACAGAGCAGTTCTCGCAGTGCATCTGTTATCTTCATCTCTCCTATCACAGGAGAATCAAAAATTCTAGGAGCATGAAAGCCAGCCCCTATCATCCCTCACGTGGATGATGGCTATATCAACTCCTCAAAGAGACTACCTACGACACCATAACCAAACTCGGTTCTTTCCCACTGACAGAATGGGCAACAAAATGAATAATGGGGATAGCCCTGAAATGTAGCACGGCACTAACATCACTGAGTTGCTGCCTTCTCCAGCTTTTCTTTTTCGATCTCCACTCTTCTCTGCTCAGCATGTTGAGCAACACCACTTGCCAGGGCCTGATAGTGGAAGTCCAAGGTCCGCGTTAGGTTCTGAAACCTAGCGGGATCAGATGCTTGCACAGCTGTAGACAACATCAACATCAAATATAACTGTTTCGGACACATGAAAAAGCATACGCTGGAAAGAATATGTATGAAAATGGAACAATCCTTACCTTGGACAGTATCGATAAAGAATATAAAAGGGTCCACTTCATCAATCGGTGATTGGAATTCCTCATCATCACTGTAATCATCATCTGAGTCATCATCCTCGTCATTTGACTGGAACCCTCTTGCCTGATTTCATTGCAACAAAAATCAAAGATGAGAAAAACATACCCACAAAACAGAAAAAAGCCTAAACAGAGGATCCAACATCGCTATGCAATATGCTCAGAAAATGAAGTAGCCAGAAGAAGAGGAAGATAGGTGAGAGCAATTTTATGTGGCACAGATTTTAACATCCAGCCCTTTTTTCATAGACTTCATCAAGACTTCATCATTTTTTTATCTATATTTTTATTTGAAAACTCTAATTTTTCATTTTAGGATCCTTACTATTACTAACTTCTTGTATATGTTGCTTCTCAGCTACCAAATGTGAAAACATCAAAATCATTTCTAACCTTGTCATTGTTTACAAGTCTTTTAAAGTAAAGGCATGAACCTTGTTGATAACTTTCATAGATGAATATCAATCCAAAACATGAAACTATAAATTGAGCCAAGACCCAAAAGAACTCCCTAGGCGACAGATTTCCAAGTCATTATAAAATTTCTTTTAGCAAAATATGCAAATAACTAGACGTTCTTGAGGGAAAATTCTAATCATTTGTATGCAAAAAAAAATAGAATGAACCAAAAACATTAAATCTAACCACCTCTGCTGCTAACTTTTGGAGCTTTAGACTATCAGCTTCATCCCCATCCTCAGCATCATCTCCCATTTCTTTGTCAGACTCTTCCTCATCTTCATCATCATCTTCAATGCCATCCATATCATCATCTACCTCAGCGTCATCCTGCTTCTTAGCTTCTGCTCATGCACAAGAGGGAGGGTTAGCCAAATAAAAGTAGAAATAATATATCACCTGCCAGAATCATTTCTGCATCTATGTTATCTTGTGGCAGACGCTAGGGCAGAAAAAGAAGAAAAAAGAAACAAAAATGAAAGTGAAAAAGCAAACAGCAAAGAAGAACAAATAAATCATAAAAAGATATGATAACTATAAGTTTGTTTGATGCATATCATTTTGTTAATGATCAAGATGAATTTGTAAGACAAATAAGGACAACCACAGACCAAATTTAATAACCAGGATTACCAAAGACCTATTCATAGAAAGATCCTTTAAAAGTATAAGATAGATAACATAGGCTATTGGGTAAAAAGATGACTAGAAGTAATAGGCTAATTGGGTAAAAAGATGACTAGAAAAAGACATCCACATAAAAAAGGAAACTATGAAGCAACAGCAAAAGATAAGTAAACAAAAAACTTATGAAAAGGCATAGATTCTCCCATAAATCCAAAGCACTGAGATGCTGTACCAGCTACTTGCTCTTTGTAAGAGACAAGAAGTTCAAGTGTTGCTTTAAAAACACGTTCAAATGCTTCTCCTGGCAACTGATCGGCTGGAAGGCCAAGAAGTGAAGTCAGTCCTAAGCAGCAAACCTTTTTATCATGTTCCCTGCAATTAAAAAGGGATATTCAGTCATTCTAATACTAAAAATGACCTGGAAAAGAAAAAGAGTCTTAACCTTTTAAAATTTGCACGCATCCCACTCTTTTTCACTTCTTGTAGCATCTGGAACCAAAGATTGAAAACTTCTGTAGCCACACCAAGCTTATGAAGTATCCCAAGTGTCAATGAAGAATTGTAATATAAAGCATCGGCAATCTGCAAAAGTAACAAGTTGTCGTAATGGAACAGAGACCAATAACTGAAGATAGAAAGAGTGCCAAAAAAATAAAATTCCATTTAATTTGGCACAAACCAACAGCATTGCAACATGAATTTCAAAGATGATATAGCTCTTAGGTAAAATATACGAAAATGCAAGAACAAAGATGAAAACATGACTACTGAGTAATAATTAATTATCTAGGCAGATGGAGCTTGGATTTGAATTAGGAATAAGAATATCAAAAATGAATACCAGCATGACACAACTTTGCAAGAACATCGCACAAAGAGGTATCCAGATAACAATAACAGAAGACATAACCACCTTAAATAAAAGATTCTCTCAGTCTGTTTAATGATTGTTAAACAAGACTGTAGGTTCTGGGTGCTTCTTGTACTCTCTAAGGCTTGCAGGGTTTGACCTTGAAAGTAATGCATGTTATATTGTTGCAGGTGTGTTGAATAATATATTAGAGCTAGGAACAGGAATGCTACTTGCCAAATTTTTATTTCCAGTGTTTTTTAACCAGTTGGTGTTCCAGGAAGCATGATTTCAAATAGGAAATTACTGCTTATCCTGTTTGATTAAAATAGAGGTTCAAGGTCATTAAAACAGAGAGAAGACTTAAAATTCAACAGCTAAACTGTATCCTAAACAATGCACGGTTAAGAACCCTAACCCACTAATTTCTATTTTGCTGTCTGTTTACAGTAGCAATTTTCATTGGTTATTGCCTTAAGAGAAAAAGAACGAAATAAATTCATTAGAAAACATACAATCAGAATCAAATCCAGAGTGTAGCAACTTAGTTACTTTTTATCTCCATAAGCAAACTGGTTTAAATCTTCAAAGTAAACCACGATAACAGCAAATGTTACTCCTAAGTCCTAAACAATACCTAATAGCAACTTTCCAACCCTTTGGGTACCAGCCACACTTGTCCTGCATCAACCTTGGACGAAGAAGAATGAACTCAGAGCAGCACAAGTTGTCACCACTTCTACCATAATAGAAAAGTCTATAACATGACCACTGAAAGTGCATTCAGATTTTATGTCACCTTAGTTAAGGTTTCCAATAATTTTATTGGCAAGGAACTAGAAAATACAGGACTAGAAAAAACTTGCATTTTATGAGACTATAAACTACGTAAATATGGTCAAGTAGCCAAGGATCCATTAAAACAAACAAAGCTTAACAACTTGCACAATCCAACATAAAATTTCTAAATATACAAGTCACAGAAATTGTTTCTTAGCCTATTTTCATCTGTGCCTTAAATGACATAAAGATAAATAGATTTATATTTCAGTGAATCCAAATAAAAAAGAACTTACACAATGGAGTAGTTCATAAGAATTAAGTTGGAACGATGCATGCAGATGTCCACACACATGTTTCTATAAAGTCCTTCCTGAATTTAAGGTTAGGACTCCCTAGTCTATTAGATAGTAAAAAATTATACAAAGAAAACAGTATACTCAGCACTAGATTCAAAATATATAAATACTGTTACTTAATATCAAATTACTCACCACTAGCATCAAGAGGCACTTCAAGTATGACCTCTCTGCTTGACGTAATCGTTCAATTGTGATCCTTAGATAAGGCTCAACCCAGTGATCCACTTGACCTTTACAATTTTGAAAGACAACTTCAATAAGCTTAGGAGCAGGTTCCATATCAGCATCATCAATGTTTCTGTCTGACATTATCTGCAATTGTATCACCAAATATGATTGAGGTCATGATTTAATGAAAATTTTCTATTTAAATGTCACAGGTATTCATCCAAGTTGACTCATGTTTAAAGATTTTTACTGATAATGAGACATCAAAATTGAAAGGAATAGGCATGTTCTTTGTAGTAACTAGAACTTACAGTTGACAGTGTATTCCATAAGCTTTGCTGGTAGTCAGGGTCCTTGCATGTAAGATAATGTGATGTACTCCTGGATATATAGTTGTCCAAAGGAACAAGAATATCTGGAAGAAAATAGCACTTACTAAATTTCAATGTGCATTTACAAAAGGGAACACTGATAAGAAGATCATTGCAATAAAATATATGCAATTACCTGATACCCAAAGCATAAACAAATAATTATATTATCCACCTACGTAAGAACAGAAAACATTCGATACTAATTTAACAAAAAGCAGAAAGAACAACTAAACAATCACTACATGACTACAATAACCAGATAAATCATTAAAAGAAAGGCAGTTACATGAACAAGGTAGACAAGAAACAAATAGTCAGCCAGTTCAATATTTATTAGTTAATGGAATAAATATTTGATAATCAAAGTGATAAATATTCAAAAATGCCCCGGCTGATTTATTATAAGTGTAATAGTGTAATAATAAAATTATAATAGTGTAATAATAGTGTAATAATAAAATTAAATTAAAAGAAATATAGTGTCCAGCAAATTAAAAGAAATTTTGTATTATAAAGCATTGGTCTAATAGTGTAATAATAAAATTAAAAGAAATATAGGGAGACCTACCTTATAAGTGTCCAGCAAGTAAAACCTACCTAATTAAGGTATTGAGCACAAAAATTTCGGTAAATATGAGCCTAGCCTAATTTTAATTCACAATTTCAAAGATTGATTTACATTCACCAACTAAATCAGCTACTATACATGAGTTCAATTGATAAACTGCAAATTCTATCATTCTGCCAAGTCTGCCAACTGCTCTTGAAGAAGCCAATTATTGTGAATAGCATGCGCCTTAGTAAGAAAAACCAGCAGCTGACACATCTTACGGTCACTGACCTTAAGAAATTATTGGTATCTTAATCAGGATAACCAAATCCTATAGCACTCCACTGAATATTAAGAGTGCATTTACATCCAATCATCCTTAGCATTCCAATGGATGGGAAAACAATGACATTCCTGAAATTACCCAAACAAATGAGGATACTAGTATGCACCCAAATTTTGTAATTAATCTCAGAGTAAACATCAAATAAATGTGCATGCAGAACTACAAAGAGGAAGCACATGATACATCAAAAGAAAATAACATCGGAGTTTAACATGCTGGATGGACTTTCATTGTAGCACAAATAAAGAGGACTTGACAGCAGTGTGCAAGAAATAAAGCTTCAAAAGAACAACAGTAATTAATATTATAAAAAAGCAAAGCCTTACTATCGAAGAAATCTATAGCCCAATCTCCAAGTGCATCCATAATTAAAGGCCAAAGGCTCCACATCTCCAACGAGATTGTTGGCGAGTAAAACGTCATATAGGAGACTATTTCTAAAACTTCTTCAAAAACATCTGCAATAAACAAAATCATTATATTAATGCAAAACAAAAAGCAAGAGGACTTGAAACAAGTTCCCCAAAAAATTCAATTCAATGTACCAAAACTTGCAACTTGAAGTTACTGGATCAAGCAATATGCTTGCAATGAGCCATCAATAACACATAAGAGCCTAACTATATCCAATAAATTTAATGCTTGTATATATCTTGCTTTGAGTTTGGTGGTGTATTAGAGTTCTAAATATAGTTATAGTACAGGTCAAATAGTTGTAAAAGTTGTATTTTAAGAGTTTAAAGGACTATAGTGATGGGAATTTGGAGGGTGACAATTGCCACATAAAAGGAAAGTTTAATAGAGGACATTTAGAATACAAATATAGCCCACTGATCAGAATCACATGCATTTAATAAAGGACATCTAGAATATGTACCTTGGCCATCTGTAGTCAGCATTTTCCGCATAATAGGTAATAAGGTAGGCTCAACTTGGACAAAGAGATGGGGAAGCCCACTAACAGATTCAAGAATAGTGCTTATGGCACGTAAACATCCAACAGCTGCTAGAGCACCTGCATCATCAGCTTCATCATCTGATTCTGATGCATCCAGGCACCTCCAAAATGCAGCAGCCTGCACATAATTTCTCAGAGAATAAAGGATTTTACAAAGACTATATACAAGAAAACCAGCATCAACATGCAATTACATTACCAGATTCTGGCACAACCCAAAAGCATATGGTGCCATCTCTTCACCAAATTTGTCGACGATAGTCTCAAGAGTGAAAACAAGGTCCTCGTTCTCCACTTCATTCATAAGTTTAAAGAACTCTGCAGAGAGAAAATTAAGAATCTTATTTCGAAATTCACATAATGTGCAATGCAAACATACTCAGATAAGTAGCAGAAAAATACCATCAAGTAATTGAGGAAGAATTGGACGAATCTCATTCAGATCTGTACAAGAGATAATGATCTCAGAGACTTTGCTTTGCTTAAAAAAGGAAACACTAAAATAAACAAACATGATTATAAAATCATACCTTTGCAAGCCTCAACAAAGGAGCGCAATGCAAATACCGAGTCAACACGCACAGGAAGCTCTGGATCTCGCAGGCCGGAGACAACACAGTGAAACACTCTGCGAAAATTGTTCTGATCTGAAAAGTTGATATGGGCATATTGCCCTGCAACCCATGCTGCCTAGTTAAGAAAAAAGTAAACTCAGAAGTCCATAAAGCAAAAGGACTGATGCACTATTACGTATATCTACCATTTCAAGATTCAAGTGCAGAACAATCTTCTTTAAGAAACACCAAAGAAAAAGACGAAGAAGAGTAGTATTATGTTTTTTCTCCTGCACAAAAGTTAGCTTCCACAATAAGGAACCATACAAATATTATTTGCACAAGAGGGGTATCTATCTAACACTTTCTAGATTATCATCTGTAAGTCTCCAACTACATTTCATGGACTGAAACGCTTACATTTCATAGCTTATCATCTGTAAGTTAGCTTGAAGACATTCTCATTAGAGGGACGAGTATAGATAATTTTTAAACTGCATAGAAGCATCAATGTTCTCTTTCTTCCGTTTCTTCTCTAAGTTGTGAAAGAGATCTCCAACCATCTTTGTCCAACATGATGTAGCTGCTAATAATAATCAAACCACCACCTATAGCAGATATATTAAATAAAAACCACTAATTTACTCTAGCATTCTCTGACCTTAAATTCTTACAAAAATTAAGAAATCCCAGACACCATATCGGCAGTATTACAAAGGAAAAATGACTAATAACCACTAAAATTATGTCGCCAATATTGAGGGCATCAGGCTTAGTTGCTCTTGAGGTATAGTGTTCTGTGAGAAGTTGAACCACACTGATACATCATTGCCAATTGAAAAAAGATGGAGCCAGCTAGCTGAAGAGGCAGCTAGCTGGGAGCATAACACAGAGGTATTGAGAGGAAAGACCAAGACCATAAGAAAAAACTCTCATTAGATCACATGGAGGTTAGATGGGTGACATAAAGTTATTGCGGTTTTGTTAACCATGATCCTAAAAAAGTAATGCTTAAATAATTGCCCACAATTACATAATGACCAAGAAGATATATACTAATTAAATTTAGCAATACTAATTAAATGGAATAGGAATAGTTGAGGTACTGTTTGTTAAGTTGATTAACAATGCGTCTGGTATGAAATTAACCTGCTTGAAACAATCCATGAACAAACAAAAAATCAGTAATCATCCATCATAAGATTACAAGCTATGATCCTGAACCTTGTAAGCATTGTAATGGTAAAAGCAATGAATGCAATTTTGCATGAACCAGTCCATCCTGACAGATATTTAGCACTTAAGCATAAACCGAGATGTAGACTGCCTCATTTCGAGCAGTCCAGTCCAATTTATTTTAAATGTTGGGCATGGTCATTTCATTTTAAAAGACCCCAAACCGGATGCCCTTTAGTACTTGCAACTCCAATTTTCTTAAAGATGTTAGGCCTTGTTTTTCTGTTTTAACCGGATTACTTTTAGGGCTCACAAGTTCCAGTGTCTTTTAGGGCTTGCAAGGGTTCACAAAACAATTCTCCCTGTCCGCACAATCACCCGATCTGGCTGCCCACCCTTCGCCACTCGTCCACCCGTCACTTGCCGCTGGCCTCATCCCCAGTATTTCTCCTTATCCACCTCTTAATTCTCCTCCTCTTCTCCACTGTCTCCTCCTGCCTTCTTCCTCTCCTCTTCCCCCACAGAATGGTACTATGATTCATGTTGGCATACTATGTGTTGGTACACCGACATTGATCAAACCCATACCAGTCCGGCTATCAACTGGTATGGGTCCAGACTCAATTCCATTCTTTGGACAAAAATACATTGCAAGGTATTTGACCTCTCTACATACTTCAGAAGAAAGCCATTGTTAAACTCCACAAGACATTTCCACCAACTTGTGCTAAAGGCATGTTAATTGTGACAAATTTGACACCTCAAATTACAAAATAACAGATGAACTATGTAAGCTATTAAGGATTGAGTTCCACCAACAATTTGGCACTTAAAAATTATAGTTGAACATTGCATGCCATTACAAGCTTTTCATTTCCACTCCTAGAAACTTCCAATGTCTAAAATAATTTCAGGGCCCAATCCCTTCGCTACACGAAACTACAACCAAAAAGTATATTGGCAGGCATTTGGTACCTATAGATACAAGATTTGTCTTGGCTACATATTTGACACCAAATCAAGATCCACCTGTCATAAAACTCCATCAGATCAACTATAGGATACTATCTTTTTAAGTTGCTGATTCACAGTGCTTAAAAAAAGTCTTAAGTGATGAGGACAAGGTGGCCCATGTCTCTGAGAGCTTCAGAGCAAAGAAACTCAACAGTGTATAAATTGCAGGACCAATGACTTACAGGGCAACAAAATCATAGCTATCTTTGGAATCTTGGAATTCATTTTGACTGACCCAAATATCAGTAAGCCCAGCAAACCAAGAAAATCACTGGATTCACCATAAAGGGCAGAATGAAGACCAAACTGAAACATCACCCAAATGTATAATGTTCATGTCTTCAGTTATCACATAAAAACCAGCAAATGAACTATAAAGGAGATGTAAAAGAGTTTTAGCTGAAATTATGAATTAAGAAGCAACATCAAAGACATCTGCCATGCTTCTAATGGGAAATACATATTCATGCTACATTAAATTCTGACCATCAACATAGAATCAAAAATCCAAAAGTAATCAACATCAGTGGTCAATAGAAAAAAAAAATTCACTGTTCAACAGTAGTAAAACATTACTGAGAATAAAGGGTTTAACCATTCAACCAAATTGACCACAAAGTTATGAGAAAGCAAACCTTAGCTCGAAGATGACCAATAGGACTTGTGAATTCAGGAAGAACATGTTGCACTAACATGCGTTCCAGCTCTGACTTATAAGGCTCTGTTTGCTTAAGTTTATCACACAACGTTCCAATAGCTAGAAGAGCACCATCTTTCTGACGATATGGCTTGAACTCGACAGATGCCTCATTGTATCTGGTTAGATACAATCATGTTCAATACTAAATATGTCATTTGTAGTAATATTCAGGTAATGTCAAGGGTCTAGAAGAATATATACCTCGTAAAAATATCCACAATGAAATGAATGAACTTCTGGAAGTTTCCTTTCCCACGCTTTCTAACTAATTCACTCACAAAGTCCATGGCTGCAGTACGAGGACTGTACAAATCTTCTATAATATCTGTACAACGGAGAAAAAGTTATTAACCTAATGATCATCATACCAAAAAAAGTTTTAGAATATCATATTTGTTGGACTTTCATCTTATTGCAGAATAGACAAAAGACTCACCATAGCCCTTCCTAACATACTCATGTGGGTCTTCACTCCATAATTTCTGATCATTGTCATTGAAACACATAAGTGGAAAGACTATCTCAAAAAGAATGATGTCAAGCTGAGGCTGCAGCAATTGGTACATACTAGTCTTTGAAATACTGCACATAAGATTCAAAAAAAAAAAAAATTGAGGCCATTGACAACATAGATTGCTAAAATTCTACAGCACAGGACCACCTGAGGATAAGAAAAAGGTTTTATCATACCGCACTTCGTATTTTCGTATCACATGGCACAAAGGAGTTACAATCAACAATTTGAGCACACTACAAGTCTAAGACATAAGGAAACCAAGGGAAAATAAACAGTAACTTCTAGTCTTCTAGCATTTATATTTGACAATCTCTTATTGTATTATTAGCTTTTACTTGTCTTAAAAATGTTCAATTACCTTATTTATCTTTATCTTGCCTTATTATCATTATTTTATATAGAGATTATCTTCATCAAACTTTATATTTTTTTTGATTTGATTGACTATATTAACTTTTTTTCCCACACAATAAAGGAGCTACACAACCATGCAGGTGGCAGTATTAAGGAATATTAGATTAAACCAAAAGTACAAATAAAAAATCTTACTAAATGATTATGGTACAAGCCAGTTTTGCTCCTGTAGCAACTTCTAAAAGCTAATGGCAAATTCACCTAAAGATAAAAATTGCCTGACTAGCAAACCTCAAATAAACAAGACCAGCGAGAATATTGTATTTCCCTGTTAGACAACGGAATGAACCTAGCACCTGACAACCAAAAATACAAAACATTCTTGACTGTTTCCAAAGAATTTGATCCATGTGAATACCATTATGTATTTGGCAATTCTCATAATATATGCCTATTTTTTAGTTCATACACCCATCACAGGTTACAGCTCAGTTTTATAATTTTTTTCTTAATCATAATAAGGTCAAGGGATTCTTCCTTTTTTCCATTAACTTCACCTTAAAGAGTTCCGACTGAGAACTCGCTCTTTAACTAAACGATCCAAAGAAAAAAATAAAGGAAAATAGGATATGAAGGATCACAGAAGCCCACGGAAAGAAGTCTGAAAAATTCAGGACTATTTGCTATGGCTGAAAAAACAAATTATTAATGAATCAAAATAACAATTAAATCAATGTAACATAGTTTCTCAATTGTTGTCCATACCCAACATGACTTGACTGTACCAGCAAACTCAAAGTTACATATACAGCTGCATTAAGCAAGACTAACCTGCTGCTGAGATATTGAAGTATAAGGTTGGTAACTCTATCAGGTAAATATTCGCCTATACGAATTGCATTAAGTAACTGAAGGTAGCAACCCAAAATTCTTCCAGCATAATTCTTTTGAAACATTTGAGCAAATGCTTTGCTCTCTGGCTTCTGAAGCTTCAGATCACCAAACCTGTGAGTCCTAACCACAAGTTAATTAAGCACAAAACATAACTAAAAAAATTCCTTTTTTACCAATTTAACCCACCGAGTATATAAACGATTTAAAATGTGGATTGTCCACTTCTTGACTTTCCACCATGTCCAAGATTTCTTGACGTCCGGATCAGATGGTTGCCCTTCTAAAGGAACAGGTCTCTCCAATATATTCAAGAACAGAGCCATCCATGCACCGAACACATTGGGATCAAATAGCTGTCGTGGGATCTCTAACTGCAAAGAGTTTTAGACAATAGAAAACAAGAAATCTTAACTATCTTTTTGCTGGAAGTCTAGTGAGAAACTAAGAAAGTCATATTAGGACTTACATATATGGATGACCAGAATATTTTACATATGAGTTTGATTAAATCAGCTACTTCAATTGTTGGGTTAACAATCTGAACAAGTTTGTTAAATACATTTAGTAAAAGAGGGAATGTCTCTTCAACAACTGCATAAAGTGGTATTCGTTCTTCATCGGACTTGAACCTAGAGAAGTAAAAACATTTAGTTAATAAACAATAGCAAGTAACTCATGAAACAGATTTTTTACGTATAATTTTCTGATAATAAACTGATTTTTTAATAAAAAGTATACTGTATGAACAATTAATCATTGATGTGCTTATCAAAGAAGCAAGCATTTAATGACTTGCTGATATTTGGTAATTAGTATCAACATAAAAAAGAGATGTTTTATAAAGCAAACAGAAATTTTTTTCTTTAGAATACAATAAGATTATTAAGTAATAAGACTTATTCGTATAGAATACTCACTCATATTTCCTGGCAAGAACCCGTAATACATATAAAGCTCCTAACACTTGTTGATCTTGCGATAGCAAATTGCACTTAATCCAGTGAAGAAGACTTGGCCACTTTTCCGGATAATCAGCTTGGATGATTGTTTTAATGCATTCTCCAAGTTGAGCTCTGTTTCATGTCAATAACATATCAGAAGAGCCAACAATACCATCCAGAAATCACTGAGAATCATAAGTGACAATTCAAAGGAAAAGACAGAGATCATAGTAATTTCTTTCATGAAATGCAAGATGTACATCAGGGCCATGGAGATGCAGACATTGATGCATCAACTTTAATGCAAAAAATCTTCATGCAGAACTATCGCATTTACGAAAACCTGTTGGTCGAGTTAAAAATCAGCTATAACTCATATCGATGGCTTCGATAAAGGAAAAAAGGTTTAAATATTAGCAGCAAACCTATCCCGTTTACTTAGATATATAAGAAATCAAATAAAAAGGATATAGATGAAGAAAGATCGAGAGAAGTAGCCAGGAGGGGTAACAACACCAGAATTAAGCAGAAAAGATTATCGATTCAAGTCCGATACAAGTTACAACCAAGTGTGGCCCAGGTTAATGTATAGACCAACTAGACATTCTCTGAATACATTAAAGGAAGACATAATTTTATCCTACTTCGAACTCAAATAATATCTTGGCAATTTTCTTCATCAAAATCTAGAAAATCTCACTCTAATCTATGAACATTTATTTGATTTAAATATATTTGCACAAAATCTAATTACATTGATCAATCTATCATGCCTCAGCTTAGACCTAACCTACACCTAGATAATGAATGTAATAAATTAAGCATATTTGGATCTCCAAAACACAAAAACACTATTCACATGATGCCTATTGCTGAAAGATGTATGTCCAAAAATATCTGTTCAATTAAGAACATAAAAGATAATTGAATCAAAGGTTTGATTTTTAACTATACATTTGTCACCATAATGAGCCAGCATGGTAGTGTGAACAAGCCAAAATTGTGCAGAAATATATGTCAGCACAGTCTTGATGCAACATGCATTGTGCCGAGATGTGTCAGGGCAGACTGCAAGAGTAGAACACTTTGAAACTCCCCGAGACCCAAAAACATGAATCAGATTAAAACATCTAAAAGCTAAGCCTACAAAATAATTCTTGAAAGAAGAACCATATACGAACATATAAAGAACATTCAGGTGGTTTCTCTCTGAGACAGAATGTGAAAAGTAGTCACAAGCAAGGTCGACCCATATTCTCGACGAAGTATTATTATAAAAAAAATATGGCTTCATACCAGTACAGCATGATTCATTTAATTTAACTTTATGCAATGATATTGGGTGGTATGGGTCGATATATCTCCTGATACAATATCATTCTGGTCCCACAGGTTAATGAAACCGATATTGTAACATGACTGAAATCCTTGCTTACAAGAAAATCGTAGTCTTGAAGAAGTTCCAAAAGCACCAAGACACCAGCATCCGCACGTGTAAGTCACACCAAAGAAAATATTGTATTATCCAAGAAGATTATGACAAGCATCCAGAGAAAACTTCATGCTTCAGATCCAGAATTAATAAATTCAATGGACGGATGGAGTCTGTTTTAACAGAGATAACAAGAGAGGTAGCAATAATAGCAAAGAGAAAATTCATCATGAGAAAGACATTTGATAAAATTGGCAACCAAGTGTCACAAAAGTTCGTTAATGGAAAAAAAAAAGATAATCAAATAATGTACCTCAGCAGTGGCGGAACTTGTGCAACAAATCCAAGAATATTCTCACGAACCATGCTCTTGTCAGTCTCTAATACCTTTTGGGCCTCACCTAAACAAGAACAGTAGTCATTTGGCAGATTAACAATTAGTCAATTGAAAAGAATTTAACTCATGATTGCTTGTACCAGGCTCATCAGGCGACCAGTTTTTCGCCACAAAATTTTTGAAATGAATGCTTGCAACTTGGCGTACACCCATATCACAAGTACCATCTACTACAATCTGCAACAACCTCACCATATGCAGTGGCGTATACTGGAACTGCATGAAAGTATGAAACAAAAAATTCATATTTACAAACCTAATGAGATGCATGATCAACAATGAATTACACGGGTTCCACGTTTATCTAACATGTCTAATTTATAGGATAACATTGCCCTGCTACACAGTCAAATCACTAAGAAAATTAGCAATTGTCAATTCTGTCTCATTACAACAGGAACATTCTCGGAAGAAGACAAAAAGAGAAAACGTAGCATCAAAAACCCAATTGGTGCATCGTTATTACCAGATCCTATATTTGCTCACACCAGTCCACTTATGGGTTTATACCCTGTTGGTTCATATTTTATGAAAGAAAACGTGTAAACTAATTCCCTGATTAAGCATATCTTATTATGGCAGTGTAACCTATAGAAAATCATTCTTTGTTATTAATGCCTCACTGGATGACAAGAACTAAAGTAAGATCACTTTTTAATTATACCCAGAAACAGAAAACACCATTACGAAAAACATAAAAGGGATGACACTATAAACCATGATCTACAATTGTCCTTGAGATGTGCGACTCAGAAACCGAGACAAACAGGTCCGTTTCGCCCTTGGCAATGAGCTGAACTGAGATGACAATCGATATTGCTTGGCTGAATCAATTAAACAGCATCACCATAACCTTGAAGCTCTACTCGATCAAATTTCAAAAACCCATCTAAAACACAAACCCATCTAAAACACACACAATATGCGACAAGTTCCCACGATCATACAGTAGCCAACACCATCAACAGCAGCAGGGAACCAATCATGAACCTGAAACCCGACGAAACCAAGAAATCAAGAAAAGCAAAGAGGGACGCAATTCACCTGATTGAGACTCTCCTCGGCGGCCTTCCGCTCGTCGGGGATGGGGCTGAGAGCGGCGCGGAGGACGACGGTGAGGCCGGCGAGATCCATCGCAACCGAGGAAATCCGGAGCACCACGGATTCCCGGCCGACCGGAGGAGGAGAGGGCGAGTGGCAGGGGCCGGACTAGGGTTCCGGATGCGCTGACTAGGGCTCCGAGGAGGCGGGGGAAGATGCGACGAGCGAGAGAGATGGGGGATGGCAAGAAGATCTCGTTACTTGAGAGCGAGCAGGCGAGCGATCGGACGGGTATTTAAGCCTAGGGTTACAGCGTGGCTGTCCGAACCGGTCCGAACCGGCTTCCAGGGATCCTCTCCACGACTCATTACGTTCCTAAAAATCCTTTCGCCGGGTCCCACTGAATCCGACGGTCATGATGGGATCAACGGAGCCAGTTAATGGTACAAGAATGGACACGGTTATTGGAGGGGATACGAACACGGCCGGCTCGCCGAGCCGCGGGTGCGAGCGTGAGTATTACGCGGCCCCTATCATTGGTTTCTTCCACATGACGAAGCACGCTTTTCCGCACCCGAAAATATACCCGCAGGAAACCACCTGCGGGGCCCACCTGTGTCGCCCTATTTCTACCGCTGGTACCGCGTGGGTTAAGTTTTCTGGAACTAATCAGCATTCGCTTCGCTTACGGCGCGCTTGGTGGCGCACCCACGTGTGCGAGCGAGGTTTTGACTTGCGGTAAGTGGTAAACGTTAGTCCAGTGAAAACAATAACAATACTAGTAACCTTTATGTGCTTTTAAACATTAAAAACATTACTGCAGTAAAATTATGATAATAATAATAATAATTATAATAATTATTATTATTATTATTAGCAATGTAGAAAATGGAATGGAAGGGAAGAGAAAGGGGGAAAAAACCTTAGCTTTTTAGGGTGGTGAAGTAAAAAAGGACTAGAGAGTAGAGGGGAGGGCACAGAGATACAGCTGTTATATGCAGAGGTACAGGGATTCTAGTCGACAAGTTCATGATTGAGCTTTTTGGCAGGTGTATCAGTTTAGGTCTTATGATACGTGTTCATCATCAAATTGTCAAGATGTTCCCTGGGTGGGTTCATCGGCAGATCTACTAACTGTTCTTCTCTTTTGGTTTTTTGGGGGTATATTTTCATCAGAGGGTAAAATGTGTTAGCAATGATTTACCAGCTTATGAGTGTATCTGCAATTTTACTTGAAACTTGAGAAAAGAATTGCTGCATATGAAACTTGCACAGTGAGAGATCAGTGTTGTATCCGATTATAACTAATTTTACCTTCCACAGAGGATTTGAAAATCTACTTAAGATTTTGTTTTCAAAGAATAAATGATGAAGATAAAATTTTAACCTAAAATCTTATAACTAACCGACGGTATATTCGATTAACAAAAAAAGATAACTTTTATGTTAGATTTATCTTTGAATTCTATATTTGTAATTTTATTATTATTTTTTATTATTATTATTTTTCATGTATGATAAACTAAAAAATAAAATCATGATTATATTTAGAAATTATGAAATAATATATATCTTATCATTTATGGATAATAAAAAATATATATATTTCTAATTTTTAAAAATCATAAAATTTTAGGGTTTTTCTAGGGGTGATTGTTGAAAGAATTAAATATAAAAAAAATATGGAGTGATGCACATGAAGAGTAAAAAAAATATTAATAATAAATAATATATTTTTTAGTTTAAGAAACAAACACCAAATGGTCAAATAAACAAATGGCTTGGAAGGAATTCAGTCTCCAAAATTATAATAAAAGGATACCCTTTTTTGGTTCATTATATTGACAAAATAATAGTCAAACCCACCCATAAACAGGAAACCACTGCTATATGGCACAATTATACAGAACATGATTAAGTTTCATAATCATGCATTTAATCCAATAATAAATACTTTAACATGTAAAATAATTATGGAATCGAATGTGAATCATTTCACATTAATGCTTATTAAAATTATCAAATTATCAAATTATCAAATTCCATATGAATTTATCGATCAAACAAATTTGCTATAGCACTAATTCATCACTAATTCATCAGCCACACCCTCACCTCTTAATGCTATTATGATCTTATAAGAACTCTCGTAACTGTAACTCGATGGTGAGCATTCCCTTCTTGGATCGCGTGTCATCCTAATATTGCATCTCAATACTGTATCACCAATCATTCCTTTGAACAGCTAAACATTTCTTAGCAAAATTATCCATCCAATCCGATCACCGCAGAAGAAACATTGTTGCAGGAACTAATCATTTCATAGAAAATAACGAATTGTAGTAAAGTGTGGTCGGCTAATGATTTAAGAGCGGCTTGGAAAACATCTTGTCGTGGGATGGATAATTTTGTATGTATGTTTTGGTCGGCCAAACGACTCGAATAGATTCTATATATGTCTTACAGCATCATGTCTGATATATAATCTCTAGGATATTAGATTGATGAAAGACTATATATACATGATAACTGAGAATAGACAGATCCAATGAATTAGATCCCTCTTATCGTATAGGGACTATAGCGTAGTGGCCTAATAAGTCCATAATTAATGAGTCGAGTGAATTATTATGGAGATAATAATTCACTGAATCAGAATGAGTTCTGATATATGCGACTTACAACCAACTTGATATTGGGTCTAGAGGTTCACAGACATATGGTAAATGTTGCGATGAGTAAAAGTTTGAATATGAGATATCCGTCGAACCCATCTTATTAGATTTCCAGTAAGTCAATGTATTATTGGATCATTTAAGTGAGATCTAATAAGATCATAGTGATTATTGGATAGAGATCTATTAATTCAAATGGCTAGGGTAGTCGGATAGAGATCCAGTACCTAATATAGTAAGATCCATAAGGGTTAAGTTGACATGTATCTTTATAAATATAAGGGAATCAAAGGGTTATAGACTAGACTTCTTTTGTCTGCCACCTCTTATTCTCCTCCCTCCCTCTCCCCTTCGGCCGATAGCCCTATTTGGGGCGTGTGGATAATAAGAAAAGTTTAGTCTTATGGTGCGCAAAGAAGAGGAAAGATCGCGTTGCGAAAGGAGGAGCATCATTGCGCTATCTATCATGTAAATCACCGTTAGAGAGGAGAACATCTGACCTCCTTCATATACGCATCTAGATATATATTTTCAGGGATATACGATCTCCCCTAAGTAAATCATCTCACATGTGATACGCGATTTTTCGATTTTACGCATTAATCTTTACACAATGATATGATATTGAATCTTTAGAAACCTATTTTATTTTATGTTCTTCCGTTGTACATGTGATGCTACCTAAGGTTTTCTAACACTACATGCATGACTAAAGCAAGATGTTACTTTCTAATTCTTTTACTTTTATTTATAAGAGTATAAACAATCTTTAAAATAAAATATACTAATTTACTAAACAAAATGATAGAGTTTGTATTGTATATAGTGATTTTGTCACCTATATATAGTTATAAACCTCTAATAAAAAGAAATACACATCCACACAATAGTGATTATAAATTATCTGTGACTTATTCCTAGTTGGGGTAAAATTTTACTCTTTTCGGGCAAAACTTTTTACATTCCAAAAGTTGGATGCTAATGGTGAAGTGAATTATAGTAGCTAACTCAAAATAAGGAGTGCAAACACTTTGAGTACTTCAGAAGTGTGGGTAAAGAGTAGACAAAGGCTAGTAACCAGCTTAATGTATGAAATGCAACCCTCAAGGGAGAGGGGTGAAGTCAAATAACATTTGTCTTTTCAACTCTTAAGAAAATGAGTAGAACCGAGTACCCAGTTCTCTTAACTATATAGCAGAGGAGCTTTGTACATATTTAAATATATATCAAAAAAACTTAGTGAAAGACAAGAATTGTCAAATCCTCACCAATTGTGATCGATTCTACTAAGAATATATTTTCACTTAATTTTTTAATTAAATATTAATAAAAAATAGAAGTGATCTAAACCTACTTGGAGGTGACAATTATGTAAAAAAGAAATTGATAGGTAAATTTTATAGAGGAAAAACTTCATAAACTTTAAATTTTGTGAGGTGATACTCGTTAAAGCTCTAATAGACATTCACCTAATTCAAAAGACACTATACAAGCGAGATATTAGCACATAATAAGAAATGTTATTTCCTTCATCTTGAGGGATCTATAGGAATAATCCTACACTAGAGTCAAAAGTCATTGACGAGTTGAAGCAGCATTAGCAGATCAAAGTTCAACTACTCAACAATAGTAACAAAGAGCAGTTGGAAACCAAGAAACATATTACAACAAGAAAAGAAGAATAAAGATTCAACAAAGGTGAGGATATGCAATATCGAAGGCTTGAATGGAGACGTCAAAGGAATAAGTGAGGGAGGATGTCATGAGTAAATATGTACATAGGGTGTTCGATATAATGTTTGTGTATGATTATATCTTTTAATTTTGTTCATGCTTTACACAATATGTAAAGGCCTTGTAGTAGACTTGGTAACCTCATTTTAGTTGGCTTTTGTGATAATTTTAATCTTGTAAATGTAGGTTGTGTATAGTCTTCGTAGAGATAAAACTACGTAAAAATAAGCCATCTAACAATCATTTTAGGGGTTTCTAGGTTCATAAAGTAGTATGAAGTGACAATCAGCACAACACCTACGTGCACATATCCTTTGGGACAGTATCATATGACATTTTCATATGGGCACTTGTGTAGACTTTTGGTTACGGCAAACTACTTTGGACCTCGTATCGTACGACTATTTAGAGTTTATAAAGTCTATGTTTGTAATTTTTATTATTTATACTGTCGTACTTAGAGTTTATAAAGTCTATGTTTGTAATTTTTATTATTTATACTAAAATGACTGCTTGTAAGATCTCGAGCTAAGCACTTCATCTAACTCATTTTCTCTTTTAAAGACACCTTCTATGATTGAATACTCACCACATGACTTAGATAAAAGTAACTAAGTCCTTCATAATATATTAGAATATCTAAGATAGTTTAGTTTCTTATGCACAATTGTTCCTACGATATTATTGTAAAACTATGTGATGAATCATTTCTAGACACGGAGCTTCATGTGTCATCCAAAGTTCCAAGGATTTGAGATGCTTAACGTTTTCTTGATCGCTCTCCAATCACGAAAGTTCTTACGTGTTCTAAGTTAGACCGTGTCCTTGAATAATTTTTCCTTCTATGATAGATA